AAGACTGAAAAAAACCCTCACTAAACACTCAGATTGCAAATCTGTGCAAAAATGGACTAATTTCCATTAAATGCCTGAAAAGGAGTAGTAGAAAGGTGATTTTACATCTACGGACAACACTGATGATACTAGGAATTGTTGTCTTGTTCATATTAATAACAAAAGACTATGAAAAGTTGTAAAGGATGCATAAAAAGAACCACAAAAATGAGTGAAAGGACTGGAGAAAATCCTCACTGTGAGTAACTTAAAGAGCTCAGCACATTTATTTTACCAAAAAGGACACCAAGAGGTGACTTGATTACAGTCTGAAGACCTCCACAGGGAGAAAATTGCAGCTACTGAAGAGCTCTTTCAGTCTGCACAGAGAAGCGTAACAAGGACAAATATGTAAAAGTCAAAGCCAGACAAACTCAGCTCAGAAACAATGACGGATTTTTCCTAACAGCTAAGGTGATTATTATTGGGAACAAACTACACAAGAAAGGATTCATTTTTCTATCTCTTTTGATGCATCCAAATCAATGTCTGCTGCTTTGCAAAGGATGTGCTTTAGTCAAATACAAGTTACTAGACTCAATACAGGAATATTTAAATGAAATGCAATGGCCAGTGATAAGCAAAGGCGAAGTAACTAATAGTTCTTCTGAATCATTACTCTGTAAATCTTTAAAAACTTCCCCAAGAGTTTGGATAGGGAAAGTTTACTTTCACATATAGAAAAAGTAATTTGACCTTCCCTAAAGAAAGTCAGAAAAGTAGTGAAAAATAACTAAAAGGATTTTATCAACCTTGAAAAATCAAATATCTGAAAGACTTTGTACCTGGCATTTCCTGTTCCTTGTAACCTTAATTAAATTATTTTTTGTGTGTGACACTATGATCATACGTACATTTTCTCAGTACTCCTTTCCCTTCTCCTTCCAGCCTTCTAGTGACAGAATAGGAAAGACTGTCAGTAAAATAGAATTAGTTTTTTAGGTAACTTCAAAATTCAAACTTTTGAAGCTGCAACATAAAGCATGTTCTCTGTATCCATACTGCTTATGTTATACGTGTAAACTGAGCAATTTTGGTTTTTTGGACTATTCAACACATACACATATAAGAAAACTAATTTTCCTCACTATTTTTGGTCCAACAGGAAGGAAGCCTTGTCATTTACAAGTAGTAAGAAATATAGAGTCATCCCAGCATCAGCATTTAGACAACTTCCAATTTAACTAAATCAAAGCTCAAATCAATATGGGAGTGAAAATGTAACTGGGAAAAGAAAAACTCACAGTGTGCCATACCTGCCATTAAAGCTTTTTGAAAGCTTTGGTTTATTTCAGGGGCACATATGCACATAACAATTCCAGCTTTGATAACCTTCCCTGGTATGCATCTAGTGCTTTCCCATAATTCACCAGCCCAGCAGTCCAATGACTTGCTGCCCTTGCCCAAACCCACTCCATTTCATAGACCACAGATGCCTCCTTGTACCTCTCACTCTGAGCCAGAATAGGCATGTATTGGGTCTGCGTGGCAAGGTTTTG